AAAAAACCTTTCGCAATAAGTTTCTTTATTATAAATAAACCTTTATAAACATAAATACGAAAGGTTTTTGATCCTGTTATAAAGGTATATCGCAATTTCCTTATATTTGTTATTGAATCTAATAATAACGGGATGAAGTATCTCTGATAATTGTTTTTCAAAGAACTCTGCTCCCCTCAAGATCTAAAAAGTGTTTGTGTTGGGTGCGTGGGACCGGGTTTTTCTACGAGGGGGATGTGAAATGTGAGCTGGGCAGGCGCCACTCTCCCCTATCAATCTCACAGCTTGCTCGTCATCTCGGCTGTCTCAACACTCTTACAATGCTTTGATGAACACAGTTTAACACACCATAGTCTAAACATGTACAAAGTAGGATCAAATTGGCAGAATAAACTGGCGAAACTGCTGGGAGAGTTTACCACTGATGAGACAGGCCCTCCCATTAATTTATCATTGCATTAAGGGACAGTGTGAAATTGTTTAATTTAAAAAAAAATCATACCCCTCAGAAATGGTTTAAATTTCTTATAATCTAGAAATTATTGGAGTTCTCGCCGGACTACAGGTCCCTTCTTCACTAACCCTAACCTTACCTACCCTTGTAATGGTTTGTAAACACTCAACGCCAGATTAGGGTTAGTAAATGTCCCGAGACCTCCCGAAATTATTTGATAAACTTCATTTTTTATAAAATTAAAAGCAATATCCTACTGCTACCATTGTTGGTGACCTCTAAAGCGGTTGGTTAGATTAAACTGGTGAAACCACTTGGTGGGCTTACCATTGATGAGCCAGGCTTTCACAATATTTTATTCATTGCAGTAGGAAATTGTTTGTCTTAAAAATAGCGTTAAAATAATTTAAATTCTTGATTAAAAAGCGAGAGTTAAAACTTCATGTTCACCATTCACGGCTTACCGAATACCAGCCAAATTATGAACTTTTTAATAAATACTCCAAAGTAAATACTCCAAAATTACGATATATTTTTGACAAATATCTATTTGTTTTAGCCAGTGCAAGAACACACTAGAACTACATTATATTAAACTAGGATGTGTAGGGATTATATTGAGAGATAAAGAAGGAATTATAATAATTTGTTTTATATTTACTAATTAATGGCCAGTAGAGGAGAGTAGTTATAAAATTGATCAGATGTCATAATATAACCATATAGTATAGACATATATTTTACAGACATACACTCATAGACAAAACCTAAGGAAGTTGTACCTTTTAGCATGTCTATCAGGATACAAACAATAACACTGAAAGATATTACAGTGACCTTTATTGAAGACACACGAGATAACCAAGTGTGAAAATGAATGCTTCTGTCTCCTTAAAAATAATCAGGCGACATCAAATTATGAAACTTCCTCAAGTTTTGTCCATGAGTGTAGTTAAACAACTCTTTGTCGAACCTTACTACATTTTTGTTATGTTATATTAACACTGATTTTGGTTGTATTAATGTTATAATATTTTGGCATAAATAGCATAAAATTTTAATAAGGGTTAACAGAGTACTGCAGAAATATCGGAAAAATAAAAATAATATGGCCACGTAGAAAATTAGGAAAGACAAACTTAAGGATGACGCATCAATTTATTTAAGGCAAGAACAAACTAGGGATGATAAAAAAGAAGGGCAATGAAAGAAGTTTACAGAGTATCAAAATATAAACATTAAAAATGATATACAGTTAATAAAATAATAAATATTTTGCTTCAATGCACAATCAATGAAAATAGGCAGCTTTACACACCCAAGATAGTGAACATTGCGACTGCTGTGATAGAGATGTATGGATCCATCTGAGGCTCTTCATTGGACACGACAACAACAACAGAAAATTGACATGGACCCAGAACAACCGCTTTACACACGCAAGATAGATAACATTGACACTGCTGTGATAGAGATGCATGGAGACATCTGAGGCTTTTCGTTGAACACGACAACAACCGTAATGATAAATAGGTGTTATATAATATTTCCAATTTATTTTTCACATTTTCACAAATTGACCTTGCAAAATAACACTTTTAAATATAATTTAAAAAAAAATTCTTGGCAATCTAACACATTTCCTTATTTAAATTGTCGAGATTTAGTAAGTTTTTTTGGATTTGCAGATATAATTTATTACTTAATTATTTAAAACATGTCTCTATTTATTTTAATAAGCCGAGTACTGTTTTCCATTCGATGTAAAAGAGGACATGATGGCTAACGCCATCTAACACCGAGTCCTGGAGGGATATGAGACCTTTGTTCCCAGAAAGAAATGTGGATGTCCTAGAATATCTAGGATATGAGTTAAACATTATTCATGTTTGTGACCTGGCTTATAACCTATCGTAACGTGCCCATCTGGAGTTGCTATATGAGTTGTTCATGTCTGTGACCTGGCTTATAACCTAACGTGTCAAGCTGGAGTTGCTATATGAATTGAACATTGTTCATGTCTGTGACCTGGCTTATAACCTAACGTGTCAAGCTGGAGTTGCTATATGAATTGAACATTGTTCATGTCTGTGACCTGGCTTATAACCTAACGTGTCAAGCTGGAGTTGCTATATGAATTGAACATTGTTCATGTCTGTGACCTGGCTTATAACCTAACGTAACGTGTCCAGCTAGAGTTGCTATATGAGTTGTTCATGTCTGTGACCGGGCTTATAACCAAACGTGTCCAACTGGAGTTGCTCTTAGGATTTAAACATAATTCATGTTTGTGACCTGGCTTATAACCTAACGTGTCCATCTGGAGTTGCTATATGCGTTGTTCATGTCTGAGACCTGACGTTTCCAGCTGGCCCGGAGGAGCTGACCCCCCAGAGACACCCCCCGACTCCCCAGAAGTGCCACCTGACACGAAACTCCTCGCGGCTGAAGTTGCTGCTCGTATTGCTCCCACTGAGCCTGACACCACGGCGCCTCAACTTATTGTCCAAGGTACTCTACTTCTCAGCTTTTATAAAAGCCGTTTATATTTTTATCGACGTTTCTGTTACCTAATTTTCATCTTCGGTGGAGGAGGAGTGTTATAAACTATCCAATGTTAGACCACACGGGATCGAAACTCGCATTGGGCCCTTTCTTTTCTAAAGGAAGATTGCTCAAATGATTCTTGCAAGAGTTCAATTCCATCAGTGGGTATGGAAATAACCAAACGAGACTTTAGCGAACTTCTAAGTGCCGAAGTCGAACTGCGCTTTCTACATATGTAGACATGTGGTGCAGTAAAATTAGTTGTAAATACCCACCAAGATTATAGCACACTATGGATAATAAAAAGTTGTCATCCTTTACATGGAAAATACTGCTAAGATGCTTAAGTGTATTACTTATTTAAATAGATTTGAAAAATCTTTTCCGTTGTTTATTAGAATTGAAACTTTACTCATGGACAAAAATTGAAGAGGTTTTACCTATTATCATGTATATCGAGATTCAGACAATAACTCTGAAAGATATTTGATATACAGTCACCTTTATTGACAACACACGAGCTAACCAAGTGTGAACAAAATTGCCTCTCTCTTAAAAAAAAAAAAAAAAAAAAACAGACGGCCAGCGACATAGGACTTTCTACTTCTTTAAGTAAGTCCATGAGTGTATTTAGAGAAAAAATAGCAAGTTTTTGATTATATTTTCTAGAATATAATCGTCGATAATCCTTTTTTCTCGAAAACTTGCCTCATTTCACCGTTCATCAACGGGGATTCTATTTTAATGTTATTGAAAAATGAAACTATTTAGTACGATTTTTAGCACAAATAGAATAACTTCCCGCTGTCTTGGCTTATCAGTGATGAAAAATCCTCTCTCTTTTTACCATTGCAGTAAAGAAAGCAGAAATTTATTTTATTTGTAAGAAAAAAAGAAATTCGCGCTATGTGTGAATTGCTTGAATTCTTATATGCATATGTGAGACGCTATTTCTCTATATACAACTTTCAGTTTTACTTAAAACCTCTTGAACATGCCATATAGAAATTCTAAGGATATTTATCGAAAAGGAAGAAGAATTTTAAAACGAAACAAAATATCAATTAGACTACAATATCGTAGCTTTTTAAAAAGAGTTCTCTCTATCTCTTGGAGAGGTCAAGAAAATATCAATTCTTTAAAATATTTTTCAGCTCAGGGGTAGCTCATTTAGATTTCTCCTGAACGAATTTCAAAATTTGAAGCCAATTGTTGAAATCTGTTAAGAATCTTCGGAGTAGTAGTTCTCCAGACAGGAACATGTAAATTGTGTTGAAATCTATCAACATATTACATTTTTACAAAAAATATAGAATTGGAATAATTTTCTGATCGTACAAATCTCGTCCTCTTTGAAATCCTTTATTCCATGACATTACGGTGAATAAGATCCACCTTCATTAAAAAATATATATGGCAATATATGTGGCAATATAGTAATAATGTGGGGAAAGAGAAATAATCACACCACAAGTTGGTAGAGGAATCAAGGCAACCAGAGAGAGAAGGGGAAGCGCCGGGCCCGGCAACAGCCGGACCGTTCGTGTCGAACACAATTCCCCAACTGACTTAATAGTCCCGAGAACTCAGGGGCCCCTCTGGTCGCCTCTTGGAATGTCGCTGGTGTCTTAAATGACCGGACTTTAGCTGCCCATCTCTCTCTGGGTTGACTGTAGGCTTGCTTTATTATTCCTGGAAGAGTATATATTATGACATATATATATATATCCCTAGTACACGTGAAACAGGCCATGATAACCATGGTGGGTAGTAGTTGGCGACTGCTTTTACTGTAAGCGCACCATAAGTCTGCACATGTGGAAAGTATGTTCGACTTTTGCACTCACTGGCGGGGTTAGACTTTTGCGAAAATCAGGAGCCATTGGAGCAATTATTTTATTATAAAAAAAGAGTCCAATAGGTGGAATTCGTTCTCGGGACGTGGCTGTAGAATACCGACGGTTTATCCCATTCATCCACCGACCTCCTAAAAAGGAAAAGCCTACAGCACCCGGTGTTCCCAAATGGTCACCCTCAACTATTGACCGGGTCCAACATTGCTTGACTTCGGTGATCGGACGAGAACCAGTGTTTTCCTTATATCAACGTGGTATGGCCGTAGTCGCCTTGATAAAGAGAGACCAACCTTAAAATAAACCTAACGAAGACATAAAGTATTTAGAATTGAAGCCATTTTAATTTTATTCACGATCCTCTAACGAAAATGTGAGTGATATTCATTGAGACACATAGTTCAAATAATTTCAGCTAGCTTAAGTGTTCTTTTACTAAAGAATACGAATGATAGCTAGGCAACAACATGGAAAACAAACTGTTATTCAGAATGGAAAAAGCTGGGGAAATCCTTGAAAATAAAATCTATGACGTTTTCACAAGGTAACATATTCAACTAAATCAACACAATTTGGAAATTTACTTGAGAAAAACAAACATGTTTAGATAAAATCCCATTAACCATTCACTACCTTCAGCACTATTTGAGTCAACCCTTCAAAATATTTTTTGCTCGTGTTTCTCCTTGGCCGCCAGGAAGCGACGTGAGTTGACTTTGTCGAGGTGTTTGCCGACCCCATCTGACAACTTGACCCAAGGTTCATCCATTCAATCAGACATGTCCGTTTTTTGTGCGTGGAAATGTCTGGAATCTGTCTCCATCTTTTTGTTCGGGTTATGGATATTTTAAATATTTATTCCCAATGTTACTGACTACATAGCAGTTTATTCACAAATATATTAGGAGTATAAATAAGTTCGTGCGTTTTTTTCTAAAATTGAAACTTTATTGTGAAAAATTAGTTAGACATTCAATATTCAAAATATTGTCCGTAGCTAGCCACTACTTTTCCCCATATTTCTGACAATTGACGGATCCCATTGCGGAAAAAGACCGGCTCTTTGACCGCTATCCATTCATCGATCCATTTTTCGACTTCATCGTAATTGGAAAAGTGCTGGTCAGCCAGGCCATGTTGCATTGATGGGAAGAGATAATAATCGGAAGAAGTAATAAACTTTAATATAAACTGCTGTTACTTTGAATGATCCATAACCTGAACAAAGAGACATTGACGTTTCCAAAAAAAAAAAAAGACATGTCTTATTGAAAACATACCCTACCATTTTGTGTTCAAGGTTTACACTCTATATATATTACTCTTTCGGAAAATCACCTTTTTTATATAATATATTTTTAGAATAGTGCATTTATATCACTCGAGTAAGAAAAATAAAAATAAAAAACAGTGAAGTTTTCATTTAATAATTTCGATATTCTTATTTCTCAAAAAAAAATTAAATTCTAAAATTTCACACAATACAGATCAGCTCTCAAGAAGGATTAATAACAGAAGATGTCCCTATTTTTATGTTTGGAAACTATATTTAAAGAGAAAATATTTACATAAGCTAAATATCTTTATGAAAATTATATATCTCTACTTTCTCTCTACAATAATATTAACATATAAAATAAAAGGATTTGAAAGCGCGAATGTTTCTTTTATACAAACTTCTACTGTCCTTACTGCGATGAAAAAAATATATTGGGAGGGCTTGGCTCATCAGTGGTGAACCCTCCCAGCGGTTTCGCCAATTTAATCCCCAGACCGCTTCTCAGAGCTCTAATACTGTATTGGATCATTCTGCTTTTATATGCTACACTGAAGGATGGAATCTTAGAAATGGTTTTCAAGTAAACTATGGACTATTTTTCATCGCAGTAAGGACAGTAGAAGTTCGTTTTATGTATAAAAGAAACATTCGCACTTTCAAATCCTTTTATTTTATATGTATAGATGGCGCGTTATTGCTTTGTGTTAATAATATTAACATTATGAAAAATAGTTGAAAATTTAAATTGTACTTGGATCAGGTGGATAAATTAAGAAAAAGGGCATTTCCTGATGGTTCAACTAAAAGTTTCTGATGGCTGAGATGGCAATAGATGGTGCAAGCCATCAGCAACTTTTAGTTGCACAATCAGAAAATGCCTTTTTTCTTAATTCATATTGAAATTATTTTCCTAAATCATTATCAGAAATTATTTTGTTTATGTATGTTGTTTTCCATAAATACCTGTAGCATAGTTTAAGGAACATAGAGCTGGGAAAAGCCATGATTGAATTTTTTTTTTTGAAAGACGAAACATTTGACGATTTAAAAAAAAAATATTTTTTTTTCAGAGAAAGTGGAATTATATAAGTAATTTAAATAAGAGGTTTATTGCTGTTTTGAACTTTCATTTTGTTATTCTTAGGAACTCTTTGGGAGTAATTGCAAACAGCGTAAAAAACTAATTCACGGAAACTTATCTATTAGGATAATTTAGAAATCAAGAATTTTATATACAACTGAATATTGAGACGTTATATAAAGAATAAGAGAGAAAATTGATTTTATAATATTATATAATTTTCCATGTAAAATGGTATTTTCAATTTATTTTGTGTTTATATATAAATTCTTCATATTTTATTTCTAATTGAGGTAATATATAAAAATATCGTTCTGAAAATATTGGCAAATGAATCTTTATTCAATCCAATATATGCCTTTTTATTATCTAATATAATAATATCTAGTAAAACCTTGATAAATCAATGTTAAAAAATACCTACAAACGTCTTGTAAAGGAAATCAACAAAAAATGTGATGCATTATATTAATATTATGTTTAAAAAAATACTTATTTGATTTTTACAAAAGAGAAATGCTTGATACTTGTAATTATATGTATTTTTATACAGTAAAACCTCTCTGTAAAGAACACCAAGTTGCGAAGCAAAAGTGTCCTTTATGGAGAGGTGTCCTCTTACCGGAGAGTTGTTACATAGTCAAAATGGTAATTTTGACAATCAAAACTGTCCTTTCTAGAGAGGTTTCCTCTAGCCGGAGTGCCCTCTCATGGATATTTTACTGTATATACTCTCCTCAAAGCCTATGTTCATATATAGTTCATTCAAAATACCTTTTTCAAAGAGTTTAGTGTCAGTATCAGTATAAAAGCAAAACATCCCAATGCAATATTACAGTGGTATGGTAGATTGAACTGACGAAACCGCTGGGAGGGTTCACCACTGATGAGCCAGACCCTCTTATCATGTTATAATTGCTGTAAGGGCAGTATAAAATCGCTTTATCTTAAAATGTATTACACGCGCCAAAAAATATTTAAATTTCTTATAATTATGCAAGGTTTGATTATTTGTTTCTGAGAGCTTTGTTCTTGTAATGAGAAAGATCGTCAGAGTTGACCTGGAATGATGTAAACGAATAGAAAATGAATAAATATAGATTTGATAAGTAGTTAATCGTTTTTTGAAGGTTTGGTTCTTGGTTTCTAAGAACTTGGCCCTCTCTCTCTCTCTCTTGTAATCTGAAAGATTGTCAGAGTTGACCCGGAATGATGTAAATGAATAGAATAAATATAGATTTAATAGGTAGTAAATGTTTTGTTTGAAGGTTTTGGTACTTGGTTTCTGAGATCTTGACTATCACAATCTATCTTGTAATGAGAAAGATTGTCAGATTTGACCCGGAATGATGTAAACGAATAGAAAATGAATAAATATAGATATAATAGGTAGTAAATTTTTTATGATGCATTAGCGCGCCATCTGTTATGAAAATTCGAAACTATTATAGAAGCGTATGGTTCTTTTAAAAATAATATTTTGTTTGAAGGTTTGGTTCTAGGTTTCTGAGAAGTTTTATCTCTCTCAATCTCTCTCGTAATGGGAAAGATTGCCCGTGTTGGCCGAAAATGATGTAAATGAATAGAAAATGACTATAGATATAATAAGTAATTAATACTTTGTTTGAAGGTTTTGGTACTTGGTTTCTGAGAACTTTGCCCTCTCTCTTGTAATGAGAAAGATTGCCCGCGTTGACCCGGAATGATATAAATTATTAGAATATATATAGATATAGTAGGTAATAAATACTTTGTTTGAAAGTTTTGGTACTTGGTTTCGGTACTGTGGAGAGAGAGATCTCGTTGTCCCCCAGCCATCTTATCTAGAGTAAACATTCGCGATATCTGTCAGGCCGAACGCTCGGGGAAATCTCTTCGTCAAGTGCAGAATGATGACATCAACTTGACAAATGTATAGTCTTAAATACTTTAGTCATCAAGAATTGATTTTATTCGATACGACTTTTTAATTTTAAGATAAAAAACAATTTATCCTACTCTGTACTCCTTCTGAGATGAAGTTAAACATATTGAGAGGACCTGGCTCATCAGTGGAGAACTTTTCAAGCGGTTTCGCTAGTTCAATCTAACAGATATCGCGCTCAACTATATTCCCCCTCACCTTAATAGAGTCAATAGGAGATTGTTTGGAAAATAAAAAGGAAAATCAAAATAATTTCAATACTTTGATCACAGAAGATGTTCAATAATTCTTTATATATGGAAAATATTTATTCATCAATATATTTTCAAAATATTTTTTAAGATTAATTGTTTGTTGGACGTTTGCTTGAAAAAATATATGGTTACATCAACTGATTTTTTATTTAGTTTACGAGGTTTCAGTGACTGGCTGTCATTCCTCTGAAGAGAGTGAAAGCGACTAAAACATCGGGAACTTTTGATAAATAAATATTTGGTTGATATAGACACAATATAAAGCAATAACGCGCCATCTAAAAGATTATGTCTATAGTTTATTTAAACGCCATTTCTGAGATTCCCCCTTCAGTGCTGCATATATTTATTTATTTATGCTTATGAGGTGATACAGCAACATCTTTACAATTAGAGAGGAGACAACATGAACCAAATCTAGAAAAAAGAAGTGAGGACATATCGGTCATTAAAGTCTGAGAGGCAAGGCCTTCAGCCAGTTCAGGGCTTCCGGGGTGACAGAGTGGAGATTGGAGATTCCTCCATTGAATTTGTACAGCGGGCAGTCGTCTAGTATATGGGACATTGATTGTGGGACGTTGCAGGCACAATTTGGATCTTCCAAGTCGTTCCGCCAAGAGATCAACACCATAGAGGTCCGTACGTCTCTTGACCTCACGGACAATACAGCAGCTGCATATATAATCAGAATGATCCAATACAGTATTAGAGCTCTAAAGAAACGGTCTG